AGGTTGGAACCTCAGATCTGGACTGTAGGAGGCCTTGTGAGTCCAAAGACCCGAGCTTTATTGAGCTAGAGGCAAGATCTTGTGCATCTAACCCTTGTTGGAGCTTGTATTGGCATTATGAGCCTAATATGTAATGCATGAACGTAAAGCTTGCGGCTTTACGTGATATTCGAGCCTTAGGATGATAGATCTAGAGTTTGGAGTTGTAGATCTGCCTTTAAACGTTTGAATGAGAATATAGACTGAATGGACTCGCCGAGTCAATGAGCTGACTCGACGAGTCGGCTAGGGTTTTCCCCGATGAGTCTAGACATGAGTAACTCGGCGAGTCGATGAGACAACTCGATAAGTTAGGTGTCGCGACTTTTCTGAAGGAACAAGGGGACTTGACGAGTCACAGAGGTTCATTCGACGATTCGGGTCAACATGGACTGTTGACTCTAGTGTTGACTTTAGTTGACTTTAGGGTTTGGTCAAGATAGGGATTATTGAGACCATGGAGGGGTAGAATGGTCTTTTACCCATTCCAAGAGTTGGAGAGAGAATAGCCTTTAGATTATTTAGAGTTGTGATTGGAGTGTTAATTAGAGATAATTATCATATGTGTTAGGCAAAGGCTAGATCGGTGATTCGTGTACGAGATTCATTTGCTTGCTTACGAGGTGAGTCTTCTCACTATACTTACCTTGAGTGGTAATTTGTGTGACCGGAGGGTCTTGTATGCTATTATTGAGTATTGTGATATCCTGCATTATGTTTTTGTGATTTATGTTGTGTATTATACTGAGCTTTACTGAGTTAGGACTGGAGGGTCCACCCGAGTTGTGGGACCGGAGGGTCCCACTGAGACACATTGACCGGAGGGTCTTATTTGAGTTACAACCATGAGAGGCTAATGAGATATGTGTGGTATTTTGGGGAACTCACTAAGCTTCGTGCTTACTGTGTTATGTGATATGTGTTTCAGGTACTTCTCAGGACCGCGGGAAGGTGTCGGCTTGATTGTACACACACGAGATGGCGTTTATGTTTTTTGGATCCTGGATTTTATCAAACAATTTATAAACTTGTGTTTTCGACAATTTGACAATTATGGTTTTGGAATGTGATATTGAGATTTATGTGGTTTTAAAAATGAAAATTTTGTATGAAAATTTACGGTGTTACAAAAATCCATTGTTATACATCAATTTTACGCCCCGATATTTCAATTTCTACGTATGTAGAGTTGGAGGCATTAACCTAGTATCATGAGGTTTAAGGTTTTCGATAAACGCTTCGATCGTTTTCTCTATGTTTCTCTTGCGTCGCCGGATAACACTGGCCTGAGAGCCATCGCCACTCTGCCAGAGTCCATCACCATCGCTACTTTGCCACCCACCACACAACCCACCGTTAATGATACCTCGATTCGCCCTCCTTCACCGTCTGAATCACCTACCCTATCCGATCTGAAGCCACCATCTGTCAGTAAGATGAAGAATAATGAATTGCAGATAAGATGAAGAAGGTTCTTCAGGTAAATCGCACCGCCACTCCACCTGTTGCCACCACCACTTGCTGCGACTCTAACCCCCACCCAAACCACCGGTAAATCGCATCAGTCGCTATCTCCTTTATTTGTGTCATCTCTTAATTGTTTAACAACCTCCACCACTTGACCAAAATTATAGGTACCTGGAACGAAATCGTCGATGAGAGGGCCAAATTGGAGACCAAATTTGTAGAAATTGGCACTCTACCTGTGTGTGTCTAGGGTTTTTTATTGGGGGTGACAGAAGTTTAGCGAAGGAAGATTCTGATGCCAAAACAACTTTAGCATTGCTCGAAGCAATCATGAAGATCTCGATTCTCAAATCGTCGCTCTCTACAACCTTCTAAATCTTAGAATCGGCAATGAATCGTAAGCACTTCCCTCCCATATTCAAACCAATAGATTTTTAGGAACAAATCGATTCTCATATGAATTGATTAATGAGAAACGCTGGTTAATTGATGTTGTTCTACTTACCCCTAACGTCTTCATCTCCCACAACAAGTGGTCACCTTGATTGTCTTCCTCTTCTCCCGTTGGCATTTGTCAGATGCTTCTCCGGTGATGAAACTGATGAACTCGGTTCATTTTTTGCTTATACCCATTTCAAGGAAAAAGGCAAAATAGAGAAGTTCTTTGAGACAAAAGGGAGAGAGAGAGAGAGAGAGAGAGAGAGAGAGAGAGAGAGAGAGAGAGAGAGAGAGAGAGAGAGNNNNTGTAATTAAATAATCAAATAATAGTAAAGTAAAAATAAAATAAAAAGAAAAGGAAAAAACAAATAGAAGGGGGTAAATCCATCATTTGAAGAATTTTTAAAGTGTTTTTACCAAACTCGCAACAAAATGAAAACTTTAGACCTCTAGTGTTAGTCCAAACTTGTTTGGACTAAAGTGGTAATTTTCAGCTAGCCATATGGATTTGTGTAGTTTAGTCTTTGTAAATGGATATGTAAACGGGAGTTTGTGTGTTTGAATATTGCTTTTTTGCATTCTTCTATTTTCAGTACCCTTGTCCATCTTTTTTGTATAGACTTGTTTTATTTATTTTTTACAATTTTAGTCTGGTATCTACTGTTTTGCCTTTGATTTACCGTTTCTACAGTTTATCCCATTTTTAACTTATTTTTAAGAAATTAATCCACATGTTTTTTTAAGCTTTTTTTTTTTCTTACATCTTTCTCCAAGTATTTTTTTCAAACTTTTTTTGTACAATATCTATATATTTCTTTTTTTTTTTAATTTTTTAGGGCATCTTAACGTTTTGTTACAATTTTTCCTCAACCTTTTTTTTTTACTTTGTTTTCAGGGTAAATATCCAATGTTCTACAAAAATGATGTCATCTCTTTTATATATTTTTCACAACATGGTGTGGCAGTACTACCCTAGTTATAAACTATAGGAGAGCACGGGGTTTTTAGATAATAGAGGGAATTAAGTTACTATGGATGCTAAGGGCATGTTTGACAATAAGCAGTTGGAAGCGTTTGGGAGCTTCTAGATTCTACCGTTGACAAAATGTTTCGTTTTGAATAAAAAGTCTCGTTTGACATTACAAACTTTTAACTTTTAGTTTAAACAAAATGCTCAAAATCTAAAAGTTATCTCACGTAGCGTTTAACAAAATGATATCAGTTTTCAATTACCCGCTACCAACTAGTTTTTTCGAACACGCCCTAATAAGGTCTCTACATAACATAAAATTTTAGCCTTGACTTTTTCTCCTGTGTTGGCGTTTTCATGATTACTAATTTGTCAAATATGGGTCTGGATACTCGGTTCATCAAATCTATGAATATGGTTGCTGCATTTGTGTGCCCGAATGGCATCACAATGAATTTGTGATGGTCGTATCTAGCTTTGAATGTTATCTTGGATATATCTTCTTCCTTTACCATCATTTGATGGTATCCTGATAGGAGATCGATCTTAGAGAGCCAAACTGTTCCTTTGTAGATCGAATATGTCATCAATTCTTAGGAGTGGATACCTATTCTTTAGCGTGACTTTATTGAGTAGTGAGCTTGCAAAGATTGAATTTCTAGTTAACGAAAATAAGATCATAGTGTCTGAACATTACTTTTAAACTATTCAAAATGAAGATTTGTTAGTCTGGATAGAGACGATGATTTAGTGTTAAGAATCCTAAATAAAATCTTGATATTTTTTAGGTCGTAGCTAGGATTAAATGAATACATAAACACAAATAAACAAATTTTATCGAATTGAATGTCGCGATGCTACATAAAAATATTAAATTTCATTTTGTCTGATTAAAATTCACGCTAATTGTATAATTAATTAAACGTAACATAGAAAAAAAAAACTTTATTGGTAAATTAAATATAATTAAAAGATAAACTAAAGTAAAATAACATAAGTTTGTGACATTACTTGGCCCTCGTGAGTCTCCAAATCATTGGAAGTCAATTACATTATTATATATTTAAATTTATCCCTAATGACGTTAATAATAGGCTTATCTAATCAAACAAACATGCAACCCATAAACAACTACTCCTTATAACATTCATCGACCTGTATAGTGGTTACTTTGTGGTCGAGCTCATTACTTTTATATCATCAATCAAACGACTCAAACTCATGGACGAGGAGCCCATCTCAGCTATCGACTCTTTAGCCAGATTTGCCCAACCATCCGCACACTGGATAAACATGTCTCGTCTCGTTCCCATGACATCCTTCACTGCCTTTTCAACGATCAACCGATCACAAGTATCTTTCATGTCTATCCCAAGCTTCCATACCTCTCCCACAAATCGACTATTCACTTGTTGGTCCACAAAGTAAGGCCAACAAATCATGGGAACACCCTCGACTATACTCTCGATAGTCGAGTTCCACCCACTATGCGTCAAAAACCCACCAACAGCAGGGTGGGCGAGGACATCTTCTTGTGGTGCCCAATCTACGATACACCCGATTTCTTTTGTTCGCTCTAGTAGTTCAACAGGGATCTGAGATTCATCATACTCACCAGTGATTGATCCTGGGCGTCTAACCCATAGAAAGGGTTTCTCACTGTTTACCACACCATGCCATATTTCGAGCAGTTGGTTTACTGTCATGGTGGCTAGACTCCCGATGCTGACGTAAAGAACGGTTTTTGGAGGGTGTTTATCGAGCCACGACAAGCAAGTTCTATCTTCCTTCCAGACGCTATTTGAAAGGGTGGTTTCTGAGGACACCAATGTCGTATTGGCCATGAGGCGAGCTTTGTGGAGAGAGTGAAGTGGGCCTATAGGGTAAATATTTGGACAAAGTTTTTTCATGTGTGGGAGTATGAGAGCATCCAAGTCTTCGAACGTGTTGATTATGAATCCTTGAGCTTGAGGAGCTGTTCGAGCTTCTTTCAAGATGAGTTGAATTACAGGGTCTGATAGGTCGTCGGTACGACAAAAGCTACCAAGATCCCGTCGCCGCATAATATGTTCTGTTCCTGGCACACTTTTTATAAGCACGTCTAGATCATCCCCTGAAGAATAAGAGAAGAGATTGCTGATCAATAATATCACTTTTAGGTTTACACTTATAGTATTTATGTAAATGAAAAGGCTGATCAAAGCGTCGAAAGCTTAATCTTTTTATGTCACAATGGTCAAAATACGACTCCCATGTAATATATACTTTTAATTGTATAATAATAAGAGTATGTGTTTATCACGAAACCTAATATGAGAATACAGACCTTTGAATGGAACATCCCCAGCTTGAATAAGGGTAGGAAGATTCAAGTAAGAAGTCCACAGGCAGCATGGACTTACTGTGTCGAAGACAACCACAGGAGTCGACGTCTCTAAAGCAATATCCACCGCAAAACTAAAGCAAGCATCTGGTATCATCACTGTCACTGGCCGATCCGATCTTGAACTCAGGCTACCGGAAACCATCATCTCCCGGAAAAGTGGTCTGCTTACAGTATCTACAGCTTCCATCACCTCCATGAACCGGTCACCGGAGACAGGTTTTTCATGCTCAACTCCATCAGGGATTGTCTCAAATCGGAAGTTTGGGTAGCTGTTGAATCGGGATACCACCTGGGTGTGGCGGAGGAGAGGGCGGTGGATGTGCTCGGTGTTGAGGAAGGTGACATGGATGCCGGAAAGACATAGGAGTTCGGCTAACTTTAGAGCACAGTTAACTGGTCCTTGAAATGGTAACGGAAAGATTAATACATGAGGTTGGAGAGGGATTTTTGCGTTGTTTACTTGATGGTTGAGGTCCATTTTTCTTTCGAGTTGGATTGTTCGATAATTGTTTCGTTAAGTTGGGTGGAAACAGCTCACGATATATGGTGTATAAGTTGAGTCCGAGATCAGGCAATTAGATAACGTTTTAAAGAGATGGGGATCAGTAGGTGGTCATTATCGTGTCGAATTATTCAGAGGTTGCTATCGAGCGTGAAAAATATGGGCTCACTAGTCACTACGGGTTGAAAATAGCCGAAAGAGGAACTGGTCATATTCTCTCCACTCCCACACAGCCACAGCCTAGTGAGACCATTGATCGATAGATAAAAAAATAAAAAATATTATTAAAATATTAAAAAAAAATATCACTAATTCTTTCTTAATATTTTCTCTTGATTTGAATGGTTGTCGTGATCTAAGTATAAGGATAAACAATAAGAAAATATAAAGGATATTTGATTTCTCTTTGAAAAAAGAAAACAAATTAGTTAGAGAGGAAAATAAGTGGGAAATATCCCGAAAATTCATAATATTTAATTTTAATTTATGAAAAAATCTCAAACTAAAATTTGTTTATGAAAAAGTCCTAATTATCGGTAAAAATGACAATTTGACCCTTTTTGTTCCGGTTTATCAGTTTCAATACTTACCCGGTTTCATTAAACTCCTATTATTTTACCATAATTTCATTATAGTCCCATTATTTTACCATAATTTGGGACTTATTCGTAAATTATGGTAAAATAATGTAATGAAACCGGTAAACCGGGAAAAATGGGTCAAATCGTCACCCTTTCCGGTAATTGAGACTTTTTCGTAAGCAAATTTTATTTTGGGATTTTTTTTCGTAAATTAGGATAAAATATTGAGACTTTTCGGGAGATTTTCCAAATAAGAATGATTGGTTTTAGGTAACTAATGATCAGCACCGTTCTAAAAAAACTAATGGTAGCGGAAAGGTTCACGGAGAGAATGAAAAATGAAAAATGTTTTTATTCTATTAAGTATA